AATGGCTGATGCTCTATGATTATTTACTACTTTGTCCAATGCTGGACATTATATTCCTCATCAAAGGTAAACCTTTTCAACTTTCAACCAGAGTGTATGCCAACACATAAAGGTTATACCTATAGATCATGCAACACAGTTGTTTCATTGTGACTACTTCACTCTGCTTTGTTTTTAAACCAGATGGAGAGCCTTGTACATAGGCCTTTTAGGCTTATTACTTAATGTGTTAATTAGCCTTTATGTGGCGACCCCTTCCTCTAAAGGAGAGGGTTCACTGCATGTATGCAAAATAATGCCATATAGTTTTTAGGGTATCAACTCTTTATGTCTAACTCTCAACTCTTTTTTGAATTTTTTTCTGCTGTCGGATTTCCATCAGCTGGTCATCATCTGGAATGGTAACCTCATAACCCTGGAAATGGCTATTAAAACAGATGGTATCTAGTGGCTGCATCACAAACTGGATTGCTGCAAGATTTTTGGCAACAACTACAATTAAATTGCTAATCTTCCAAAACCTTGGCATGTCATCATCATCATAACCACTATGTTGATGGCACTGCATCTGTATTTATGTACCGGTACATAATTTTTATTCTGTCTAAAAGTTGAAAGCCAGGGGCCGGTTGTATCAAGGATATTTAGCTCAACTATCAAACAAATCCATGAACTATAGACTACAATCAAACTAATATTTTCTGTCCAAACATAACAACCATGCATTGAACTACACATTTCGTTCATTTGATAAAATTGAAGTTCAATTTTTTACAAAATGAATAGGAATGTTTTGAAATTTGTGCTTATCCACCGTTTAAGCAAAACGCCTTTGAAACAACCGGCTCCTGGTTATCCTAACCCATTGAGTGGCGATGCTCCCTGATGCACCCTACTTTAGCATTTTACTCTGTCTAACGCCAGACGATTTTACTCGTCAAGGGGAGAGCGCTGGCGCTTAATGGGTTAACCCGCCTATCTGCCCATATGTCTAGTTAACCTATTCAGTGGCGATGCTCCCTGATGCACCCTACTTTAGCATTTTACTCTGTCTAACGCCAGACGATTTTACTCGTCAAGGGGAGAGCGCTGGAATTAATGGCCGGGTTAACTAGCTAGCCTATCTGCCCATGTGTCTAGTTAACCCATTGAGTGGCGATGCTCCCTGATGCTCCCTACTTTAGTATTTTACTCTGTCTAACGCCAGACGATTTTACTCATCAAGGGGAGAGCGCTGGCGCTTAATGGGTTAATATAAGCAAAATCTTGTTTTATCAAATTATCCATTGTTAGATGGCATGCAAAATAACAACACAGCATTGCCAAGAATTTGTATTCTTGTTGGATTTCCTATATTGAGCACTTACTATATTTCACTCTGTCTAACAATTTGGAACTAATTTGATAAAGGAACATGGCAATAATGCCTCATAAAGGCCACATGCATTATATTATTTTGGTTCAGTTTTTTATACACTATGCATGGATAGACTTTAATTGGCAAAAGTACAATGGTGACAGTTTTGTAAATAAGTTAATATTGAGGAAGATAATTGTATAATGTTTTGATAGATATTTTCAACGTTAAATTTTATTAAAGTTAAAATATAAACTGGTTTTTGATATTAATACCTTGTATACTATATTCACAATATTCCGAGGACTATAGTTGTTGTACAGGTATTTTCATCGTTTGCAATTTGTCAATTACTGGTATTAACTTGTTTTAGTCTTTCAGAAAGCAATGATATCTCAGAACACAAGACTTTATGTGACAATTTCGATATATTTTTATTGCAAATGAAACAAAAATATCAAGCAAACGTCGATTGTATCCGTGCATGTGATTCATTGACTTTTAATACAGTAATAGTATTAAAGTTATATACTTCCGTGTATATATGTGCATGTGCATTTATGGATAGCGTGCTACAATAACGTGGTCGTACTGTAATTCCTTCGCAGTTGCCAGTTGCTATGCAACCAACACATCGATATTTTAATATATTGATCCTCAAAGGAAATGTTTTTTAAAAGACGATAGCATAAACTAAGATATAAATGGACCATTTCGCAAGGTAAGTTTCTGACATTCGAAGGAAGAAATAATTTTTTAACCCCTGAAACGGAACACCGCGGAAAAACGTCTGCGCATGCGTCAACCTTACCTGTAATAGTATTGCGAACTTGATGAAAAGCTGTTCCGAACGTTTCCGAAGGCTCAAAATGGCGGTAAAAAGGAGTAACTTCATTGTGCGTCTTTACAGCCAGATTTCGAGTGCAAAAATAAACATGTCATTCTAAAAACTAGGAATAAATACAGCCAGAAGGTTCAAGAAATTGTATTGTACAAGAACATGAACTAAAGGTGATTGTTGACAAATTTATCGTCTGAAACATTTTGTTTATCAACTAAGCAACGACAATTTCCGAATTTTCGTTTGAGATACATTTCTTTAAAAAAAACTGTGTCGCCAAATATAAAAAATTTTCGTGTTCACAATAATTAAACTTTAGGATTTATTCTACAATTTGAGTGGGTTAAGAAGCTTAACTTTTCGAGAGTTTTCTTAACTTTTGAGTTTGAATTTTTGTTTTGAATAATTTTGCAAAAATTTTCGAAGTCGTGTCCGTTAAAATCAACAATTTTTTACATGAATTATATTTCATTCCATACTTTAAATGCCAGGACGCTTTCAATTAATGTCTAGTCTACCCATTTGCTATATTTTCTCGTTTGTTTTACTAATTTTTGACCAATTAATAAGCATGTTTTTATTTTAGAAATTGATATTAAAATTCCTCGCCATATTTTCATAATTTGGTGCATGCGCAGACGTTTTTCCGCGGTGTTCTGAAACGGAGTTAGATTTATTTAACTCCTTAAAAGGTGTTATATTTTAACACCCAATGAGTGTTATTTTAACTCCAAAACTGGGGTTAAATTTTAACACCTTAATTGGTGTTATTTGTAACCCCTAAAAAAGGATTATTTTAGACTAAACGTCGTAACCCCTCTTTTTGGTGTTAAAATAACACCCCGAAAATAACAGTGCATGCAGTTTTAGCGTGTCTTTAAATTAGACAACCGGCAACTAAATTTGACAGACATGGCTGAAATTGACTCGTTTATCGAGCAGCAACGCCCGAAGAATACCACTAAGAAAACTGCTTATGATCTAAATATTTGGCAGCGTTTTTGCTCATCTAGAAACGAAGGATGTAAACGAAATGAAATACCTGCAAACGAACTTAACTTGCTCCTTTGTAAGTTTTTCATGACAATTACGAAGAAAGACGGCAGCATCTATGAACTTAGAAATTTGTCCAAATTTGCCTGTTCCGAATTTAGTTGAAAAATGAGCACTTGTAAATTTGGTTATTATTTGAAGCTGACTGGTTTGCTTGCTTTTTCAGAGTTTCTATTCTGAATATATATAGTGAATATAGCAGAGAAAAGCCCTATTTACTATTTTTTTACTATTTGGGTTGCTGTCATTGGTTCTTTTTTGACAATTGACGAGCGAATGGGGCATGTCATGAAAGGGCGTTTTACAAAACACCCGGTCTTCCTTTCAGGCCCACTATTCTTCCCCCGGTGGGTGTGCACGCGGGCTATATTAACACCTATAGGTGAACTTTTAAACCAACCTTTTCTCGGCTGCAGAGAAGAACAGCTTATACATGTACCTTCGGGCAGCAAATATTAATTGTTCCAAATACTGCAAATTTCCTCTAAACTTTCCAAAATTGTTGTCGACGGAGGAAGGAGGAAAGGACCGTAAAAAAAATTTGCAATGTGTTACAATTCTCATAAATTTTATATGTTTCCTGCATTTCCGACTATTATATTGCGTATCTGTTCTTTCTAAAGTTATTTCCCCTAATGTTGCCCGACTTGCCAAGTGCGAAGAGTGAGTAATCTATAGAATTCCTTAATTTTTTTTGTGTCGTTTGACAAAATATTTAAAATTAAGTTAATCACTTAGGTAACTAGGACTACAATTATTTACAACTTAATATCATTTTAGTCAATTTACTCGATTGTGATTGGTTAAAAACCGTGCCGATTAAACATTAATCGACACAGTGTGCCGATTAAAGATTAATCGGCACGGATACGAGTCCGTGTGGATCATGCGGTGAATAAACACAAAATGTCAACTTGAAAACAAACAAATTTAGTTGAAAATGTACATTTTCTGAGCTCTTAGTTTACAATGAGCTCTTATTTATGCTTTCATATCGAAGAAAAAAGAAGAAATAAAGATTATTCACAGTTTTTACAGGTATGAATTGAAAATTAATGTCAGAAATTGCTGTCAAAAATTGACCACATGCAGAAGCGCGTATATGGCTTTGCTCGCTTGAATACAAATACAATCTTTCTTATCATTGATTGCTCGTGTAAAATTGAATGTAAAATGATATTAATAGGAAATTACACTTGTTCTCGAAGTATTAATGAAAAATCACACTTGTGTTTGGCGAAATATTTATAATACCGCTCGTGCTACGCACTCGCGGTATTATAAATATTTCGCCAAACACGCGTGCGATTTTTCATTAATACTTCTCGAACCGTGTAATTTCCTATACTTATAATATAAAGTAAGTTTGTGAATTTTCCTCCTAGTTGACCAACCTCGCAAGCCAGAGTATTTTACTTCCGCACGGCGCTAGGTAAAAGACCCTGGCTTGCGAGGTTGCTAGTTGACATGCTTTCCCACCCTACTTCTTTCATGAGTCGATGCTTGCTCGTTCCTTTCATAGACCCTGTTGCAAGTTTCGCTGCCTCATACTGAACATGTTAAAGAAGATCGCTTTCACTTTTGGTGCAACCGTCCCACAATACGGGAGCAGGACGCTCAGGACGAATAAGTGGTTTATATAACTTGCACTATTCCGAATTTTTCGAATAAGTATTTGTGCTGCTTTTGTTGTTAAGACATATAAGCATGTTAAGCTTTTTATTAGCTTTCTCGTAGATATGGAAAATGTGGGTATAATTTTACTTTAATGAAAAATTTGGGGTTTATTTTACTCCTATCAGCATATTGTAAGACATCCGAAATATTTTTATTATCAAAAAATAAATCTGGATGGTTGGGTTTAGACCGTTTAATTAACAGAAACTGTGATACTTTGAGTTTCCTTTCGTCAAATCACTAATCTTACTAAGTAATATCACGAGATCCGACAATATCAAAGAGTGACGTTTCATCAGCATATAATAATAAGGGTTCGTTTCAAAATTTTCAGTTATATAGTTGATTAAACCAAGAATAATAGTGAACCGAGCACAGACCCCTGGGGTTTTCCAGCTTTGATATACTTCCATTGTGAAAACTGACCATCTATATGATAAGTAACTCTCAAACCATTACTAAGCAAAGGATCTCTTACACCGATTGACTTAAGCTTATATCATAGAATAAGAAATGAATAGAAGGGCAACTCGCGTGTACAACGCGTCCGTAATTTTTTATGCGCATGCGTGAGGTCCGCCATTACTCTGGCCAGTAACTGGTTGCTGGCGTACTATAGAATATATAGCGAAAGAAGATGTTTGGGCTGGAAAATCGAGTTTTCTTACCATGTTTATCAACGACTGTGTGAATTTTGTACAGAAATCGAAATATATAAGGTAAGACATAACGACTGGGCCGTCTACAGGAATTTAGATACTTTTCTCGAGCAAAAATCAACATTCTATACAACAATGTGTCAATGTTTACAGTTAATAGATACAATTATATTTTGTGTGAAGTTTATATGAACACTCATCTGAGTCAATTGGCTATCCTCTTCCTAATATTTCTTATCATTTCTTATCATTATTGTCATAAAATAACTGATAACCATTTGTATTTCGGAAAGACATTGAGGTTTTATTTATTAATTTGTGTTTTGACTCAAACACGCTATGCCACTTTACTTTTGAACATAAATTTTCGATGTCTTGGATAAGAAATTATTTGTAAAAAGCAAAAACAATCATGTTACTATGATAAAAGACATTTGCTGAGCGAAATAGTGCTTTAATAGTAAAACTGCATGACGATCCAGATCCTAATGAAGAATGATTTCTATTTCGTTCTTATATGCAGTGATTACTTTAGGTTCAAATTATAAATCCTATTTTATGGAGTTTTAACGCATTTACCAGAAATTTTGAGATGCATTTTTTGTAAAGTGTCAATATTTGCAAGGTTTATATTTGATTGCTGCCCTACTACATGGATTTTTAAATTTTATTTAAATTTGTTTAAATGTCATTAGTGTACATGTCACCTACACAACAGCAGCTGCTGATCTTGCTATCACTTTGTCATGGGCGTACCGGAAGGAAAAAATTAGGGGGGCGGAAAGAAAATTGCCCAACTTTTCGTAAAATTGCCCGACTTTTCGTGATTTTGCCCGACTAGTACCAAAAAATTATTCA